GCCGGCCCCGCAGCCCCGCGGGACCCGCGGCGGGCCGCACTCACCGCCCAGGAGCAGGAGCAGGAGCAGGAGGAGGAGGAGGAGGGCGCGGGGGCCGCGCATGGCCGCGCTCTCGGGGCGCTCTCGGGGCGCTCTCGGCGGCGCTGCCCGCGGGGCGCTCGGCGGGGCTGGAGGGCGCTCGGCAGGTGCCCGGGCGCCGCTTCCCGTCCCCTCCCGTCCCGTCCCGTTCCCTCCCGTCCCGTGTCCGCGTCCCGCGCCCGCCCCCCCGAGCCGCCCCCTCCAAACTTGGCTGCGGGCGCTGCGCCCGGGGCTGCGCGGAAAGTGCGGGACGGATCCCGCCGGAGCGGCGGCCGCGCGCGCGGCCGGGCGGGGGGCAGCGCCCGGCCCCGGGCCCCCCTCCCCGACCCCCGACCGCGACCTCCGGGCGCGCAGCGAGACACGGGACACGGCGCGACCGCTGCTCGGGGCTTTATTTGGAGGCGCCGCGATGCCAGAGGGAGCCCGCGGGCAAGGGGGCGCAGGGCAGCACCCTCCCCGGGCAGGGGGCTGAGGGCGCATGGGCAGGGGGCCCAGCACGCAGGCGGGGGGGCCCGGAGCCCTCACCCCCCTGCAGTGCACCCACTACCCCAGCTGCAGCTGGCAGAGCGTGGGACAATGCGGGAAATACATCCCGCGTGGGGCCGGGCTGGCCCCCCAAGTGGTAGGCTGGGGGGCCCGGGGATGCCCCCCCCGCAGCCAGCGGCAGCCCCGCGGTGCCCTAGCAGGTGGCGTAAGCGTTGGCCCTCTCCCGGATCTCCTGGAGCAGCCCCGAGACGCGCCGCTCCAGCGCCTGCAGCCGCGTCGCCTTGGCCGCCATGGCCTGCTCGTTGGCACCGAAGTGCTGCTCCAGCTCTGGGGACGGGCGGGCAGCGTGGGGGCCTGGGCGCAGACCCGCCGCCACGCGCCCCTCGGCCCCGCGCGGCGCCCCTACCTTCCAGCTTCCTCTTGCTGCTGTTGGCCTTGTCCAGGAGGTGCTGGGCCTGCTGCGTGATGTGCAGCACGCGCTGCCGCGCGCCCGGGGACACGCCGTGCAGCTCGCTCACCCGGCCCTTCAGCAGCAGGTACCGCTGCGTCACCTGCACCAGGTCCTGCCGGCGGAGCGGCGCGGTGAGGCCAGGTCCCCGCGGTGCCCCACGGCTCTGCCCCGCGGCCTCACCTGGCTGAGCGTGCCCGCGGCGGCGGTGGCGAGCTGCGCCCGGCCCTCGGCTTGCTGCGCCAAGCGGCGGCTGTCGCGGCTCTGCTGCTGCACGGCGGCGACGCGCTGTGCCAGCTCCCGCAGCCGCTCCTGCGCCCGCTGCTGCTTCCCCTGCAGCGCCTGCAGCCTGCGCTCCGCCTGGGCGAGCGGGGCACCGGCTGCGGGCGCGCACGGCCACCCAGCCCCCGGCCATGCCTGACACCCAGCCTGGTGTTCCCAGCGCACCTGGGGCACCCCCCGGCATGCGCACAGCACGGCCCATGTGCCCATGGCATGGGCCCCATTCCCCCAATGCACCCGTGGCACTGGCCTGCTACCCCAACACACCCATGGCATTTGCCATGTTAGTCCCCCAATATCCCCATGGCACCGGCCCCATTACCCCAATACGCCCTAGGCTTTGGCCCCATTTACCCCACTGTACCCATGGTACCATTACCCCCGTGTACCCATGCTGCCGGCCCTACCCCCTTGCCATGCCCAGAACACCAGTCCTGCTCGTGCATGCCCACAGTCCCCACCAATGGAATGCCCGTGGCCCCAGTATTCCCAGTGCACGCGAAGCCCAAGCCCCCAAGCCCCATTACCCCTGGTCCCTGGAGTGCCCACGGCCCCAGTATTCCCAGTGCACGCGAAGCCCCAGCCCCGTCACCCCCGGCATTCCCGCACCTCCCTGGCACGGCTCTCGGCTGCGCGGATGCCGTCCCTGGCGCTCTGCAAGGCGGTCCCGGCCGCCGCCGCCTGGGCCTGCGCCACCCGCAGCGCCCGCTGCGTGCCCGCCAGCTCATCCCGCACGCCCTCCGCACGCTCCCTGCGGAGACACCGGCTCCAGCCCCCGTCCTGGTGCTGGCTGCTCTCCGACGGGAATGCTGGGCCGCGCGGGCGCCTGCGCGGGCACTCGCCTGGCCTCCTGCCCCCGCGCCAGCAGGCTGCGCGCCGCGGCCAGCCCCTGTGCCGTGCTGTTGAGCACCGCGTCCACGCCGTCCAGCTGCGCGATGCTCTCCTGGATCTGCTGCAGCAGCTCCTGGATCCTGCCGGGGCTGCTGGGCAGCGAGATGTTCAGCACCTGCCGGGCCACCAGCTCGATGCTGCCTGGGTCGGCTCCCTCCTCTGCGGAGACAGGGCACAGTGCTGTGCTCAGCACCGGTGCCACGCTGCCCCGCGCCTGGCGCCCGCCCTGCACCCGGCCCGACCTGCCAGGAAGGCCTTGATGCGGCGGATGAAGTCGCGCAGCTGCGCCGTGGCCTTCTCGGTGCGCGTGCGGGCGGCCTGCGAGCGCCCCAGCGCCTCCTCGGCGCAGCTGCGCGCGCCCCGCGCCAGCTCCTGCACCTCCTGCATCTGCGGGGTGGCACCGGGGGACGTGGGAGGGGGCACGGAAAGGGCACAAGAGGGACGCAGAGCAGGCGCAGCAGGGACGTGAGCAAGGGGGCACGAGGAGGCGGTACAAGGGTACCCCCAAGGGCAAGGCGAGTATATCCAAAGGACAGCAAGGACACAGATGTGCCGTGGGGCACACGCCGGGCCAGGCCATGCCCGGGGGACACACGTGGGGCTGCTCCTCGCGGTCCATGCCGCCCCTACCTTGTGCGCTGCGGCGCCCAGCTGCCCCAGTGCTTCATCCAGCTGCCGCGAGGCGTTGTGGGCGCTGCCGAGGGCGCGCGCGGCCACG